CCCCCCCCCCCCCGCCCGCGCGCTTGTGCACATGCTGACGGATAAATAAAATCTTTAAAAAAAGTAAACAAAAGCGTATTCATTCACCCATTGTAAGGGCAGAAGAGAGACACCTGGAGGTCTATAGACACTCACCTCCCAGTTCCTGGAAAGCAGCAGGAGGGGAGGTTTTAGCAAAACAAAGGGGCAAATGGGGAAGAAAGGGAGTGTGAGATTCAGTTCCAAAGGACACACAGAAGCCCCCACCCACACCCAGGTCTGTTCTCAGCATTATGGGATGTGCGTTGTTATAGCAACATGGCAGCGGACACAGAGTCAGGAGTTGGAGGAGACAGAACCCGTGGGACTTGAGCCTTTTAGGAAAGCTGTTTCTTTGAATCTGTGTCTCAGGGAGTCATTGGACAGCGAGTGGTCCACACAAAGTTCCAAAGCCTGTGATCTAAAACAGTCTCTGCTTTCTCAACATTATTCTAGGATCTGAAAGGACCAGGTAAGAGCCACAGGGAGGAGAAGGGGCCCTGCTGCCAGCTCCCAAGCCACAGGAAGGGACAGGGTCACCCAGGAAGACTTCACATAAATAAATGAATAAAGCAGACTTCGAAGCCCTGGGAAACCTAATACTTAGAATGTGAGCAGAGGAAGGGGGGCCTGGAAAGGAGCGTGAGAAGGGAAGGCCAGAAAAGCAGGAGAGAATCAGAAAACGACACTGACTTAGAAGTCAAAGGAGGAGGACACCTAGAAGTTCAAGTACAGCCTCTACTAAGGCCAAGGAGGAGGAAGAAAGAAAATAGGCCACTGTCTCAGTCAACGAGAAGCTGGCCTTCCCAAGAGCAGGTCCCAGAGGGGCGTGGCGGGAGGAAAGCATTCAACTACAGCGTGTAGAGGAGGGGGCCGGAGATCTCACCACTGTCGCCATTTTTACTGACTGCTTTCCGTGCATCAGGTTCTGTAAATGCAACATCTCTAACTTTAGAATGCCTCTGTGAGGCTGTTACCTTTACTCTCCCCATTTGGCAGATGGGAGTACTGAGGCACAGAGCAGCGACCTGCCCAAGGACACACAGCGCAAAGTGGGACTCAAGGAGGTGGGTGCTTGCTGGGCTGCAAACCTGGCCTGCGCCCGAGCCTGAGCCCGTCCCAGGGACACGGCACGTCCTTGCAAGGGCAGACCATGGCAGGGCGAGCATGTGTTCAAAGGGACACTTGGCCAATTCTGGCACCTTATCCTCCGCGTGAGCAGCTGCCTTCGACTGCGGGTCCCCAAGACCCTATTTAAAGAGGTTGCTCTTGATCCGCGCAAACGGCAACAAGAGTGAACACCTCATCAGATGCACACAGATAGATTGCAGTTAATTCATCATGAGCTCTGTATCCCAGAGCGGCCGAGCGCCGGCATTCAGCTGCACCCACATCAAAGAGAGCACAGTGCCGTCAGACCGCTGTCCGCTCCCAGGGGCCTGCTTACTCACCTCCACTCCTCCACGAACCACATTCCTTAAAACCAAAGCCACTAAAGAGTGCAGAGACCCCTCCCTTCCCAGAACCTGAGACCCTTACAGCTTGCTCCTGCCCACCTGTGCCCACATCCAGCAGGGGTCCCAGCATGTTTGCAGCTGGCGCTGGGGTGGGACAAGTCCTCTGGGG